TTCTTTTCCGGGCCACTTCATCGGCGAGCCAGATCTGTGATGCACTATTGCCTAACAGCGAAGACTGATAGGTTTCTAGTGGGGTCAAAAGAGCATCCTGATTCCCTCGGGAGGTGTGGGCAGGATCCGGGGGATGCCGGGGGAAACCGGGGATCCGCGCCGGATATGGGGGAACTCAGTCGGGGGTGCCGTGGGTGCCCGCCTGATATGGGGGAACTCAGTCGGGGGTGCCGCGGGTCCACGCCTGATATGGGGGAACTCAGCTGACGGGTGCCGCGGGTGCTTGCCTGATATGGGGGAACTCAGTCGGGGGGGCCGCGGGTGCACGCCTGATATGGGGGAATTCAGTCGGGGGTGCCGCGGGTCCACGCCTGATATGGGGGAACTCAAGTGAGGCTGAGGCTGAGGCTGAGGCAGGCTGAGGCAGACGCTGAGACAGGCTGATGCATCCGAAAGCCCATGAGCAGTGAGGAGGAGAGATGCCTCCTGTCGAGCGCCACGGTGTGCTCAGAGGGAGGAAGAGCAGGAGGAGGAGGAGGAGGAGGAGGAGGCGGAGGAGGAAGGAGGAGTTCGAGGAAGGATACGCAAGGTTTTTCTTAGTGGTTCCGGCCTCTGGAGGCCCAGCTGCGGGGATCCAGGACGTTTCAAGATTTGCCTTCATGGCGTCTGGACTCTGGAGCCTAAGCGGCGGGGGTCCAGGACGTTTTAATTTGTATAATATGTATGTACTTACATGTAGTGTGTATGTATTTGTATGTACTTTAGATGTAGCTATTGCTACTGCATCTACTGGGATTGCCACTGCGACTGTACCTGCGACTGCCGTTGTCATTGCGATTGCCATTGCGAATGCGACTGCGACTGCGAAGGCATCAGAAGTCTATAACAGGACTCCTACATGAATCTCAAAAAGAATGCTCCCAGATATGCTTCTACACATCGTTATTCGGCTGCTTTGCCAGGATAGTTTTCTACATTCGCCTGCAAGCGGGAACTCGAGGAATGGGTCGAAGAAGAACTTGCGCAGCCGCGCTCTCGCCCCGCCCCGGCGCCCCCCCGAACCTGGCCGGGCAGGGGCCCCAGGGGGGCCCAGGAAACCATGTCCCGGGAAAGGCTTTCCCATCACGTGGTTTTAATCTAACAGCGTAGACTGATAGGCGGCTTCTAGTGGGGAAGGAAAGAATCTTGACGCCCCAGGGGGATCTGGGCGGGACCCGGACAAAACCGGACAAAACCAGCAGCCCCAGGAATCCTTAGGAATCCTTGCGAATTCTTAATCCTTAGGAATCCAGTCCCAGAGCGCCATTCCCAGGCCACATTTTGAATGCCCGGAGCCAACTGTAGGCCACTTCGTGTTCTTCGTGTTCCCAGAGCACCATTCCCAGGCCACATTTTGAATGCCCGGAGCCAACTGTAGGCCACTTCGTGTTCTTCGTGTTCCCAGAACACCGTTCCCAGGCCACATTTTGATTGCCCGGAGCCAACTGTGAGGCTGAGACTGAGGCAGGCTGAGGCTGAGGCAGGCTGAGACTGAGCCTGAGGCAGGCTGAGGCTGAGAGGCTGAGAGGCTGAGAGGCTGAGAGGCTGAGGCTGAGGCAGGCTGAGGCTGAAGCCTGAGGCAGGCTGAGGCTGAGGCCGAGGCAAGCCGAGGCAGGGTGAGGCTGAAGCTGAGGCAGGCTGAGGCTGAGGCTGAGGCTGAGGCTGCTGAGGCTGAGGCAGGCTGAGGCTGAGGCTGAGGCTGAGGCTGAGGCTGAGCAGGCTGAGGCTGAGGCTGAGGCAGGCTGAGGCTGAGGCTGAGGGCTGAGCTGAGGCAGGCTGAGGCTGAGGCTGAGGCTGATGCAGGCTGAGGCTGAGGCAGGCTGAGGCTGAGGCTGAGGCAGGCTGGCTGAGGCTGAGGCTGCAGGCTGAGGCTGAGGCTGAGGCAAGCCGAGGCAGGCTGAGGCTGAGGCTGTGGCTGAAGCTGAGGCAGGCTGAGGCTGAGGCTGTGGCTGAGGCTGAGGCAAGCTGCGGCTGAGGCAGGCTGAGGCTGAGGCTGATGCAGGCTGAGGCTGAGGCAGGCTGAGGCTGAGGCTGAGGCAGGCTGAGGCTGAGGCCGAGGCAAGCCGAGGCAGGCTGAGGCTGAGGCTGAAGCTGAGGCAGGCTGAGGCTGAGGCTGTGGCTGAGGCTGAGGCAAGCTGCGGCTGAGGCAGGCTGAGGCTGAGGCTGATGCAGGCTGAGGCTGATGCAGGCTGAGTCTGAGGCTGAGGCAGGCTAAGGCTGAGGCTGAGGCCGAGGCAGGCTGAGGCTGAGGCCGAGGCAAGCCGAGGCAAGCCGAGGCAGGCTGAGGCTGCGACTGCGAGAACAGCAGAATTCTACAACTGGATTCTCACCCGAATCTTAAGGGGAATGCTTCCAGATATGCTTCTACACATCGCTGTTAGGTTGCTTTGCCGGGATAATTAGACGTTCCGGGAAAGCCTTCCAGGAACGCCTGGCAGCGCGTTGCCGCGGGAAAGGTGCCAAGGACAAGCGGCGCATCCCCCCCCCCTCCTCCATCCCCAGCCCGGACTCATGCGGGGACGAAGGGGGGGCTTGACTGACCGCGAGGGGGGGCCCGCCGCTCCTCGCCGCGCGCGTCCTTGGTTTGACGGGCCATCGGGAGACATTGGCGCTTCTCGCTAGCGGCTAGCCCCCCGGCTTAGCTCGGCCAGTTAAGCTCCGCTTTCGCGCGCCTCCCCGGCTCGAGAGGCCACGGGGGGAGATCGGCGCGTCCCGTCATTGCCGCAGGGTGTTCTCAGGCTCAAACTTCTGGCCGTCGGGGCGCGGCGGAGCGCGGGTTTTCCTGCGATGCTCATCTGCCGGCCGCGTCATGACTCGGCTCCGCTCGCCGCCGCCCGTTCTCGGCGGGATCGCGGGGCGTCGTTGGCGACCGCCCCCGTCGGGCCCCGCGATGGGAGGGGGCCCCCCGCCCGCGCTTGCTCGCCCGGGCCTGGGGCGCGCCCTCTCGAGAGAGCGCGCCCTGCTCCAAGGGCGACCGCGCCTCGCGGGGCATCGGGGGCGACCCCCCCCTGCCGCCTGCCCCGCGCACCTCGGGCCTGGCGCGTGTGGGGGCAGGGGCAGAGCTGAAGACTCGAGGTCAGGCGACGGCGAAACCTTGGCCCAATCGGCGTCGGCGGCGGGCGGCGGCCAGGGTGCAGTCCGCAGGGCGCTACCAGGATTGCCCAGTGACGCACCCAGCAGACACCGGATTCGCCAAGTCGGATCCACGCCGGGTCCACCGGCAGACCAGCACACGCGGGTCCATGCCAATGACGCACACCAGCAGACGCGGGGCCATGCCGGATTCGCCAAGTCGGTGTGCGCGACGACCTCGACGAAATTTCTGGCCTCGCGGACCCGCGCGCGCGGGCGCCCCCTGGCTTTCTGGCGCATGGAGCTGTTCCCGCTGACTACCCCGACAGTGGCCGCCCGAGGAGCGAGCCTCAAGGCAGGCAAGTGCCACTCGGCGCGGCTTTGCATTCCGGCAGCCGGAGTCGGCGCGCAGTCAAAGACGCCGTCGTGTCCTGCAGGCGGGGCCAGGTGCCAGCCGCGCAGGCGCCCGTTCTCCCGCTCGATGCGCTGCGCCGCCTCCCAGGCGGCCACGAGCCACAGGAGCCAGGAGGCCCAGCAAACCGGCGCCTCCTCATCATCGCGGGCTCGTGGGGGCTCTTCAGGGAGGTCGAGCTGTCCGCGACGCGCGCAGCGCAGGTCACGCCGTCGGGCACTGGGATTTCGCTGCAGGTCGCCTGGGACCTCCCCGCGTCGCTGGCCGACCACTTGGCCCCCGGCGCCGCGCGCGCTCGCGGACGCTGCTGCCAGGGGGGGGGGTACCGTTTGGCCGCCATTTGCCTTGCGCGCGCGTTGGCCACGTAAGCCGGTTGTCTGAAGAGGGAGTTCCCAGAGCGATTCGCGGGCGAGCGGCCAGACCTCGACCTCCCGCCGTTCCCAGGCGTGCGCGGGCGGGCATGCGCGAAGCAGACCGTCGCCGCAAGCATTCAGCACGCGGACCGCGGCTGCTGGGCATGGAGGCGCACGGGCCCAACGGCGAGGTTCGTTGGACAGGCCATTCGCTCCGCGCCACTGGGGCACAGGGGCTCGCGAGGGCAGGATTCGACGTCTGGGCGATCCAGCTCTCGGGGCTCCGGGGCTCGGACGCGGTCTTGCGCCGCGCCCGGGAGGCGCCTCTCGGTCTCGTCTGGAAGTGGGGCCGCGCGGGCTTCCGGGGGCCTGCCATCCGACGTGGCCCATCGGCGCGCGCCGCTTGAGAGGGGGGTCGAGCAGGGGCCTGCCCAAGCGGGCGTGCGCCGCCGAGCCGGCAGGGGGAGCGCGTCTGGCTCGCGGGGCTCGTCGTGACGCAGCCGGCAGCCTCTGCCACCAAGTCGCCACCAAGGTTCATTCTTTCGAGACCTTCGTCCAATTGCTGCGCGAAGCTTTCAAGCGTCTCTACGTCGACAGCACCAAGTTCGTGGACAGCCGCAAGACCAGCATCGTCCACCGGGTCGGGGAGGGATCCACGCGCATCGCGCGCAGAGAGTGGCGGACCTCCTGCGGGTGGGCTTTCGGCATCGCCGACCACAGGAGGCTCGAGTCCGCCGAGAGACCGTGCAAGCTCTTGCGCGAGAAGTGCATGTTTGGGGATAGAGCGGTGGCGAAGGCAGCTTGGGCACGCAGTGCTGCCGCTTGTGCGGAGCAGGGACACTCCAGCAGATGGGGGGCTATACCGGTACCTGCATCGGATCGGGCATATGCCCGGGCGCAAGCGCGACCTCCGCCCACGCCCGTGTGGGAGTCCGCAAGGCGATCCACAGCATGGGAAAACGAGAACACGCTCATGTGGGAAAGGCAAGGAAAGGACAGGAAAGGACAAGGATGGTAGGAAGGCGGAGGAGGAGGTGGAGGAGGAGGAGGGTGGATAGTGACGATGTGAGATGGCATGTCGCACCAGGGCTCTCTTGGCGGGCGCCCCGCGCATGGCGCCTCAGGCGTCGTTGCTAGACAGCCACGGCGACAGCCCCCGCGAGCACGACCCCGACAGCGCGGCGGCAGAGGCGCGGCCGCCGCCCGCAGAAACGGCGGAGCCCAGAGGGAGAGCGAGCGACCGGGTTGGACGGGACGGGATCGAGGTGCTCGGGCGACAGCAGATGCGCCTCGCCGAGAACGTGCCGCGGGTGCCAAAGTCGTCCCGAACGGCCGCCAGAGAGCCGAGCTGCGGCCCGAACTCCCAGGGGCCTCGGAGCCCAGAGCCATTCGCCGACGAACTGTTTTTTCAATCATGGCAGTTGTTCCTCGTTCTGGCCCCTCGGGGGCCGCTTTCGGGCCCCAGGGCCATCCAAACTGAGTCCGGGGGCACAAGAGCTTACCCCCTGGGGAAGGGGTCGGGGCTTCTTGGGCCGCGGACTGAACCGAGTCATATCGGCGCATGTTTGGGAAGCGAGCGAGCGGGCAGCCGACTGTCGCGTCGACGGTGGCAGCGGCGGAACCCAGAGGGGGGGGGGGGGAGGGGAACGGGCGAGCGGGTCTAGCCGAGGGTCGTGCCGACGGTGGCGGCCAGCGGAACCCACGGGGGGGGGGGGAGCGGGCGAGCGGACAGCGAGATAACCGCGATCTTCTCGCCGTCGCGGCCGGTGCCAGAGCGGCTGCCCCTCGCCGAGGGGGCCGCGCGGGAGGCGCCCGGGGGGGGGGGGGGCGAGGCGCGGGGCCCACGGGGGGGTGGGAGAGCGGGCGATCTGACAGCCGAGGGTCGTGCCGACGGTGGCGGCGGGCGGGCAGCCGAGGATGCGAGAAGAGGGTCCAGCGGCCGCAGTGTCGATCTACTTTCGGAGGTCTGCATGGGGCAGGTGTGCGCAGAGGCGTTTCCGAAGAATTTTGTTCCTTCTCTTCCTCCTCCTCCTCCTCCTCCCCTCCTCCTCCTCCTCCTCCTCCTCCTCCTCCTCCTCCTCCTCCTCCTCCTCCTCCTCCTCCTCCTCCCCTCCTCCTCCTCCTCCTCCTCCTCCTCCTCCTCCTGCTCTTTCTGACGTCGAGTGTGCTTCGGGACGCGCCGCACTTTAGCCGAAGGCTTAAGGTGGGGGGTGGGGCAGGGGTGGTCCCGAAATGCGGGCGGCTGGTTCAGAGCCGTGGGTGAGTTTTTTCTGAAAATAGGGGCGGCGGCCACTCAGGGCTCGGATGCGCCAGTGTCGGGTCCCTCCGCGGCCCTGCAGCCGTAGGATGCAGCGCCGTGGAGGAGTCTCCCGAGACTCGGGTGTCGGGCGATCGGTGACTGCTCATCTGTAGCTATCCGAAACGCGCGTGGCGCGCGAATTGAGGAACGAGCTGGCTTGCTCGTCTCGTGGCTTTTGTGGTGCTGGAGGGAGGGAGAAGGAGGATGGAGGGAGGATGGAGGGAGGATGGAGGGAGGATGGAGGGAGGATGGAGGGACGGCAAAGAGTCGAGGATGAGGATGAGGTAGGAACGGAGGGAGGGAAGGGACGCTGATGATGATTACGATAGGGGAGGAGAGGAAGGGAGGAGGAGAACATGGGGGGAGGGGACGATGACGACGACGACGACGACGACGAACACCGAAGGCGTCGCTGATGGGCTCGCCACCGTATGGATCTCCCGCGAGCCTGGGGCCAGAATACGGCAGCCCGCCGAAGCCGGGCGGCAGGCCCGCGAGGAGAGCCAACCCGTCGTCGCCCTCGTCGTCCTCGTCCTCGTCGTCCCTCTCCTCCCTCCCCTCCTGCTCCCCCCACTCCCCTTGCTCCTTCCTCATGCTCCTTCTCGGTATCCTGCTCATTTCCCTCCTCCTTGTCGTTCTCTTCCTCCCCCCTTCGTCCTTATCCTTCTTCCGCCCACCCCCTCCTCCTGCGTATTCTCCTCACTCACTCCTCCTCCTCCTCCTCCTCTTCTCCTCCTGTGTCTTCTCCTGTGTCTTCTCCTGTGCCTCTTCCTTCTCCTCCTCCTCCTCGTTGTCCTCCTCATTGTCCTCCTCGTTGTCCTCCTTTGTGATCCCTCCTCGAGGAAGGCCAAGGCAAAGGCCAAGAAGGCCATAGCGCAGACCGCACTGCCAGCGGAGGACCGCACGGGGGGGAGCAGGCAAGGGGCCACGGGGACCTGCAGACCAGGATCTTACCTGCGGGTACGGTAGGTTCGCGTCGTGTCGACCGGCGGCGACCCCGCCGCCAGCGTGATCCTGCCAGATCCACCGTGAGAGAACGAATATGGGAGGAGGAAGAGGTACCCATAAAGCTATCCTTCGCCCGTTTTCCCCATTGTTCGCCATCCTGGGAGGCCCTCGTCACCACCGCTGGATTCGCCTCGAAATTCTGGTCAGAACGCATCCCAGGAGAGGTCTGGGGAGTAGCGCTATCGGTACCCTTTGATTTCACCAGCTGCTGGCCCTGCCCTCACCTGCTCGCACGCAGCTCGCAAGTTCTCTCGACGGCACCCCGCCATGGTCTGCACGATCTGAGCGACTCTTTCTGCTCGCTTCGCTCGTCTCTTCCTCTTCTGCTTCGTGCCCTAATCTGCTTCGGCGCGCCCCGCCTCTCGTCCGACCGGCGCCTGACCGCCTCTTGCACCCTGCTGCGCCCGCTGACTTCAGACAGTGTGCGAGAACGACAGCGGTCGGGTATGTGTGCTTGGCGTGTCGCGGCTGCGGCCCCGGCGACACGCTGTGCACTGCAGGCGGATAGCGTGCCGCTTCGCTCCGCGGAGCAGGAGGCTATGATCAGCTCGGGCCGTTGACGCTCGGGAACGGAGTGGTGGACAGCGTGTCGCGCCGAAGATGGGTGGGCCAGGGCCGGCGGAGCGACACGCTGAGCCAAAGTACTTGACCGTAACGGAAAAAGCTTACGCCACGGCTGCAGCTTTCTCCAGCATGCCGATGTCCGGGCTCGTCCCAGGGGCGCGAAGATATTCCCCGCCTCGCTCGTCGCGGTCGGGGACAGAGCAGTTGCCCTTCGCCAGCGGGGCGGCGCGAGGGCGCGAAGATAACCGCACGTCGCGCATCGCGAGGCGCGAGGTGCAAAGTTAGCTGACCCAGATCCAGCGTGAGAGAACGAAGGACGGATAGTGCTTCAACCCGCGGCTGCAGCTGTCTCTGGCGTGCCGCACCCTGGTTTGTCAAAGTCCCCGTTTCCGGGGCCCTGAGGAGGGGAGGAGAGACATAGCGAAAGTTTGGAAGGTCCCCGCGGGTTCCGTCGGTCGGCGCTGAGCCACTGACCCGCTCCTCGCGCTGGGGGAGGAGGGCCCAGCGCCGACCCAAAAGATCCGTGCGGACCTCCGAGGACTCATGCGTAAGTTACCTGTTTCTCCAGCATCGGTGCAGGCAAGCCCGCGGGGTGTTCTGGCGGCAGACAGACGGGGCAGGGCGAGGGGAGCGGCGTTCCTTCCCAGAGGCCATTCTGCCGCCCTGGATCCTGCACCCCAGAGGCTTCCGGAGGCCTCTGGAGGCCCGACAAGGGCCGATGATTTCGGGAGACCGCCTCCCTCGACCGCCGAGGGTCGAGTGCAAGAGTTGGCCATCGGAGGTTGCCACAAGGGTTCGTTACACATGTCCGCAGGGAAGCGAAGTGTGGGGCGATGACCAGGGGTATGACGATGATGACGATGACGATGACGTTGATGACGTTGATAACGATGACGACGAGGATGACGATGACGATGATGGTGATGATGATGACGACGACGATGATGGTGACGATGATGAGGATGATGTCGATGATAATGACGACAGCGATGACGATGACGATGGCGATGATAATGGTGATGATGATGATGATGATGATGATGATGATGATGATGACGATGATGCTTATGACGATGACGATTATGATGATGACGATGATGATGATAATGACCACGCCGACGTCGAGGATGGCGAGAACGACGAATATGATAACAATGATGGTGATTGGTGTTGATGAAGGTGACGATGACGACGATGATGTTGATGATGGTGATGATGATGGTGGTGGCGTTGGTGATGAGAATTATGACAGTGATGATGACGATCATGATGGTGGCGGTGGTGTTTATGATTATGGTGACGATGATGATCACGATCACGATGATGCTGATGATGATGGATGGCGATGATGATGACGATGGCGACGATGACGATGACAATGTCGATAATGATGATGGTGATACTGATGATGAAGACGATGATGATGATGCTGATGATGTCGATGATGATGATTGTCAAAGTTATATTGGTGATGGTGATGATGGAGATGGGGATGATGATGACGATGATGTTGACGATGGTGTCCATGATGATGGTGATGGAGATGGTGATGATGTTGACGATGATAACGATGATGATGAGGATGATGATGATGATGCTGCTGCTGACGATGGTGATGACGATGATGATGGCGATGGCGACGATGATGATGATGACAACGGTGAAGATCATGACGACGATGATGACATTGATGACGATGATTATGATGATGTTGCCGATTCGTATGATGATTGCGATATTGATTTCAATGATGACGATGAACGATGACGATGTCGATGACGGTGATGATGATGATAATGACAATGACGACGATGATGATTACGAAGAGATGATGCTGATGGTAGTGATGATGATGATGACGATGATGATGATGGTGACCAGTGTGGTGCTGATGCCGATGATGATGATTATGATGATGGTGATGATGGTGATGTTATGTTCATTATGGTGGTAACGGTGAGGGTGATAATGATGATGATGATGATGAGAGTGACGGTAGTGATGATTATGATAATGATCCTATAATTTCGGTAATGCAATCATGATGATGATCATGATGATGATGATGATGAGGATGCCGATGGTAACGACGATGCTCACGATCATGACGGTGCTGATGATGGTGGTCATGATGACGTTGATGACGATGCCGACGATGATGACGGTGCTGGTAATGTCGATTATGACGATGATAACGATGATGATGAGGACGGTGATGATGATGGCGATGACAGCTATGTTGACAGCGATGATGATAATGCTGATGATGATGACGATGTCGATCATAAAGTCAATAATGCAGATGATGATGATGATGATGGTGGCGATGATGATGACGACGGCGATGCTGTTGACGATGATGACGATGGTGATGATGACGATGACGCCGGTGCTGACGATGATGTTGAGTATGACGATGACGATGCTGATGGCGGCCATGATGATCATGATGACGGGGGAGATGGTTTTGACGATGATGAGGACGATGTTGACGACGATGACGATGCTGATGGTAATGTTGAGGATCATCATTATCATGATGATTTTTACCACGATGCCAACCATGATGGTGATTCTGCTGATGATGATGATTATGGTGGTGGGGATGACGATGTTGACGACGATGACGATGATAGTGATGATGCTGGTGCTGATGCTGATGCTGATGCTGATAGTGATGATGACCATTACGATGTTGATGGTTACGACGTTGCTGATGATGACGAGGCTGATGATGATGATGGTGATGACGATGATGAAGGTGATAACGATGACGATGATGATGACGATAATGACAATGATAACGATAATCATGATGATGATGACGATGATGATGATAATGATGATGACGATGTTGATGATTGTGGTGATGACGGTGCTGATGATGTTGGTGATGATGATGCTGATGATGATGATGATGATGATGATGACGATGATGGAGATGATGACGATGTTGATGATGGCGATAACGATCATGATGACGACGAAGGTGATGATGATCGCGTTGCTGATGCTGATGATGATGATAATGACGAGGGTGGTGGTGACGATTTTGACGATAATGCTGATGGTGATTATATAGACCATGATGACGGTCGCTACGATGGAGATGATGACGGCGATGGCGAGGATTATGTCAATGACAATGATGATAACGCTGATGCTGATGATTATGCTGATGACGATGATGCAGATGATGATGGCGATGACGACGATGGTTATGATGACGATGATGACGATGACGACGATTATGACGATGATGATGCTGATGACGATGATCATGATGATGCTGATGGTACGCTGACGTTGGTGACGATGACGGTAACGATGCTGGCGATGATGATGACGATGCTGGCGACGATGATGAGGGTGATGATGATGATGGTGGTGATGATGATGAGGACGATTATGATGATGATGATGGCGATGTTGGCTTTGATGACGATGATGACGACGATGACGATGATAATGAAGATGCTGACAAGGATGATGACGATGATGATGATGATGATGATGACGATGATGACGATGATGCCGATGCTGCTGCTGCTGAGGATGATGCTGTTCACGTTGATGGCCATGGCGATGATGACAATGCTGATGATGATGATGATGATGCTGATGATGATGACTATGATGGCTATCATGACGGTGGTGGTATTGATGATGATCAGTATGGTCCATGGTGATGATTATGACGATGATGGTGATGCTGATGGTGGCAGTGGTGATGGTGCTGATGATGATTATGACGATGATAAATACGATGATGGCGATGGTAATGATGCTGATGATGCGGGTGGTGATGCAAATGATACTGATGACGATGATGACGATGACGATGACGATTATGGTGATGACGATCGTAGTGTCAAGGATGACGATGATGACGATGAGGACAAGGACGCTGATGATCATGGTGATGATGATGATGATGATGATGACGCTGATGACGCTGATGACGATGATGATGATGATAGCGATGATCATGATGATGACGATGATGACGACGATCATGACGATGACGACGATCAGGATGATGATTATGACGATGATGACCATGATGACGATGATGACGGTGATGATGATGCCGATGATGATGCCGAGGATGATGATGATGATGATCATCATGATGATGATGATTATGAGGATGAGGATGATGATGATGGTGATGATGATGATGATGATGATGATGATGATGATGATGGTGATGATGATGATTCGTATTAGTATGATGATTGTGGTGGTGATGATGCTAGTTATGATTACGGCGATGGTCACGACGATGATTGTGAGGATGGTGATGGTGACGACAGCAATGACGATGATGATGGCGATGCTGACAATGCCGATGACGATGACGTCGATTATGATGGTGATGGTAGGGACGATGATGACGACGATGATTACGATGATGACGATGATGGTGATGATGAGGAGGAGCAGGAGGAACATCATCGGGGTGTGTGGACATCACGGCTGGGGTCATGAGACCTCTCCGGATTTCATGGCCCGCTCTTCGTCCTGCAAGGCATCCCATTGGTCTTCCCGCGTCCGTGCACATGCCTCGGGCCATGCTTGAGGGAGACAGACATGTAAAAGGCACCGATACCGAGACTCCCCAGACCTCTCCCAGGGTGCGTTCCTACGAGCATTTCGAAGACAATACAGCCGTGGTGGCGAGAGCTCTCCAGGACGAGCAGCGGTATCGGTACCTTTTTCGTTTCCCCCGATGATTTGCGACCCCCCGTCGTGGACGCCTCACGAGCATGGTCGACCTCGCGCGGGCGGCCCCCGGCTCGAGCACCTCAAGCAACTGGAGGAGGATGATGTGCGCGGGCGTTGCCTCGCCTCGCCGCAAGGTGAGTCAGGCGAGGAGGAGGAGGAGGAGGAGGAGGAGGAGGAGGAGGAGGAGGAGGAGGATGTGGCTAGCTCGACCGTCGCTTCATGAGTTGCAGAGGAGATCGAGAGGAGGAGGAGGAGGAGGAGGAGGAGGGATCGCGAGGATCGAGGAGGAGAGGATCGAGAGGATCGAGGGGGATCGAGGAGGATCGAGGAGGAGGAGGAGGAGAGGAGGTCGAAGAGGATCGAAGAGGATGGATGAGGAGGAGGTGGAGGAGGAGGAGGAGGAGGAGGAGAGGAGGAGAGGAGGAGGAGGAGGAGGATCGAGGAGGATCGAGGGAGAGGAGGAGAGGAGAGAGGGAGGAGGAGGAGGGAGGAGGAGGAGGAGGAGGGAGGAGGAGGAGGAGGAGGAGGAGGAGGAGGAGGAGTAGGAGGAGGAGGAGGAGGAGGAGGAGGAGGAAGAAGAAGAAGAAGAGGAGGAGGAGGAGGAGGAGAGATGAGGCTCGAGGAGGAGGCGCTGTCACTGCCCCTCCCGAGGGGGGGACGGAGAAACGGGCGGGGGGCGGAGGGGGGTCGGCGCAGGCAAGCCTGAGAGCGAGGAGGGCCAGGGATGGGAGGCAGGGCGAGCGAGGAGGGAGGCGCAAGGGGGAAGAGGGCAAGGGGAGGGGCAGGGAGAGGAGGGCGAGGGGAGTCGGGGCGAGGTGGGCGAAGGGGGCAGGGCGGGGGGGGAGGGGCAAGGAGGGCGAGGAGGTCCGTCCCTGCCCGCCGCGCTTGTGGCCCTCTCGGAGGGCCGCCGCCGCCCCTCGGCTCGCAGCCATTTGGAAGGGCAGAGGGCCTGTGGGAGGGGAGCCAGCCCCTCTGAGAGTTAGGACCGCCGCACCCTGCCAGGGGGTGGCGGGGTGACCCTCTCAGATGGTGGCCCCCAGATATCAGATGGCTGCCCTCTCAGAGGGTGGCCCTCCACAGGGCTGCCCCCCTCCCAGCCCGCGATCCTGCCCCTCCTCCTCCCTCCTCCCACCTCCTCCTCCTCCTCTCCTCCTCCCTTCCCTCGTCCTTCCTTCCTGCCTTCCCTTTCCTCTCTGCCCTTCCTCCCCTCGCGCCCGAGGAGGTCCCGCTGGAGGCGGCTTCCCCGCAGCCGGGAGCGAAGGCCCAGGCGCGCCGGAGGAGGACGGAGGAGGGAGGGGCGAGGGAGAGATGGACGAGGGAGGGGCGAGGGAGGGAGGGACCAGGGAGGGGCGAGGGAAGAAGGAAGTTACGAGGGAGGGACGAGGAGGGGCGAGGAAGTAAAAAGGGGGGAGGAAGGGAGGGACGGACGGACGAGGAGAAGGAGGAGGAGGACCTGTGTAAACCCAAGGCGTATCAACGATGCTGCAATGCACCCTCACTTCAAATTATCTCTTCGTATGCCCCATACAAGACTTTATCCGTAAGGACTTCCATTGTGGCCGCAGCCAGCGTCGGCGCGAGCGGATTCAGGTACACTCAATTACATTCAGTTACACTCAGTTGCACTCAATTACACTAGGTTGCTCCGAGTGGCGCTGGCTTGCGCTGGGTCCCACTACGCTACACTCAGTTACACTCAGTTACGCTCGGGCTATAGTCGGCTACGCTCGGCTGCTTTCAGTTCTCTTCACCTACGCTCAGTCACACAAATTTGCGCGTGGTAGCGCGTAGTGCCATCGGCTGCGATGGGTGCTACGTGTGATTTGGTGTATGGGAGCCTCCCGCCCAGATCCCTGTAACAACCCAGCACTCCCAGTGAGTTTCTCTAGGCTACACTACGTTTCATTCAGTTACACCCAGTTACACGCAGTTACATCCAGTTGCACTCAGATGTTTGGTGTTCGACATCGGCGCCTGCGGTGGGCCTCTCGTCGTCGTCGTCCTCCCATGGGCGACGGGCCAGCCGCCCCAGGGCGCGTGGGAGGTCCGCGCCGCCTCGGCGCGGCGGCGACGTTTCTCGGGGGACTCGCGGGGCATCCTCGCGGCCGCGGCCACGCGCGGTTCGAGACCGATTGGATGACTGTCGAGAAGGGCACAGAAAATGCGGGGGAGGAAGGGGACTGGGGATGACGAGGAGAGGGGGGAGGAGGATAGGAGAGGGATTGTGCGGAGGATGCCGAGGGGGGGTGGAGGAGGGTGATAGGGAAAGGAGGGAGGGTTGGGGAGTGCGAGGGGAGAAACAAGATGATGATGATGCTGCTGATGATGATGCTGCTGATGCTGATGATGCTGATGATGATGATGATGATGATGATGATGCTGATGCGGATGATGTGAATGATGATGATGATGATGCTGATCGTGATGATGATGGTGATGGTGATGGTGATGCTGAAGATCATGATGCTGGTGATGATGAGGAGGATGCTGCTGAGGATGCTGCTGCTGCTGCTGCTGCTGCTGCTGCTGATGATGATGATGATGATGATGATGATGATGATGATGATGATGATGATGATGATGATGATGATGATGATGAAGCCACTTGGAAGCCTTTTGGGGCCTCTGGGTGCCTGTTTGGAGCCTCTTGGGGACCTCTTGGGGACCTCTTGGGACGTCCTGGATGCGTCTTGGATCCGGGGGCCCGAAATTTCCGTTCGGGTCCCCCGTCCGGGCCCTCTTTTGCAGCCTTCTTGGGGCCTTCTGGACCGTCTTGGAGGCCTCTGGGGCCGTCTTGGCGCCCGCTTGGGCCGTCATGAGGCATTTCTGGGGGCCTTTCGGGGCGACCTCTTTGGCTGTCTTGATGCTGATGCTGATACTGATGCTGATGATGGTGATGATGGTGATGATGGTGATGGTGATGGTGATTGTGATGATGAAGATGACGATGATGATGCTAATGATTATTATTATTATGATGATAATGATGATGATGATGATGATGATGATGATGATGATGATGATGATGATGATGATGATGATGAGGAGGAGGAGGAGGAGGAGGAGGAGGAGGAGGAGGAGGAGGAGGAGGAGGAGGAGGAGGACGACGAGGAGGAGGAGGAGGAGGAGGAGGAAGAGGGGGAGGGGGAGGAGGAGGAGAAAGGGGAGGGGAAAAAAGACGAGGAGGAGGACAAGGCAAAGGAGGAGGAGAAGAAGGAGGAGGAATGGTGAGGATGAGATGGAAGTGGAGGAGGAGATCGGGGGGCAACGAGTAGTAGGAGGAGGAGGGGGAGGAGGAGAAGGAGGAGGAGGAGGAAGAGGACAAGGAGGAGGAGGATGAGGATGATGAGGAGGAGGAGGAGGAGGTCAATGGAGAAAAATTGGGAACCTATCGAAGACGCCTACGGCGAATCACCGCCCCCGGCCGCCCGCCCCCTGCCTTTTTGGAAGCGCCTATGTGGCCAAATGTTGAGGCCTGACCTGCCAAGCTATCGGACCATGTGTTCCCCGAATCGGTTTGGAAAGCCTTCGGGGAGCACGTGGGCATCTTGAAGGTCATCTTGGCCGTCTGGAGGAACTCTTGGCGTTGAAGTCCTGAAAATTGTGATTTGGTGCGCTTCAGGATTCTCGTACGGTTGTCCCTCAAAGGGGCAATTTCTTCCGTGGCAATGAACCCTTATAGGGGCCTGTGAAGAGGGAGCTTGCAGGGAGGGTGTATTCCAGCATCGTTGATGAGTCTTGGGTTTACGCTGGTCCTCCTCCTCCTGTCTCCTCCTCCTCCTTCTCCTCCTCCTTCTCTTCGTCCTCCTCGTCGTCTTCCTCCTCCCTAGAAGGCCAAGAGGAAGGCCAAGAGGGCACTCGCGGGCGAGGAGATGGCTGGCGATGCCGCGGCGATGCCGCGCCCGCCCGCCCGGCCCGCGGCCTTGGCGGCGGCGAGGACGCTGGCGGGCGAGGAGTCTTGGGGTTTCCTAGATCGGTCACGTGCAGAGGGGGGCACGGGGAGGGCGAGGGGGGAAGGCGGGAGAGTTATCCCAGCCCGGGCCCCCTCGAGGCATGGAAAAATCACGACGGGAGGGGTTTTCACAATTTTCGGACTCCACGGGCCCTGACCAGGCCTCGGGGCCGTCAGCAAACGACTCGGGATGAGAGAATGGGTCGAGCCCTCTGTGGGTCGACGTTATGAAAAATGACGTCGGGGGTCTGGGAAGGTGGGGTTGAGTAACGAACCCAGCTGGATGCTAACACTGTCTTCTTGCACGAGCTGTCTAGAGCGATTTTCCTCCCAACCCCCATCTCTGCACCGCCCTGGGCTCCGCCTCAGAGCCGAAACTAGCCGCCGTGCCCCCCCCCACCCCGTCAGGGGGATCGACGCCGAACTTAGGTTCTAACCTGGGTTCGAACCCAGGCCCAAGCTAGGTTCGCCCCTAGGTGAGGGCCGAACCTAGGTTCAAAGCATGGTTCCAACCTATGTCAGGCTCGAACCTCCTTAGGTTCCAACCATGGCTCCAACTAAGGTTCAAGCCTAGGGTCGCCCCGACCCCACCCTTGACGCCCCCCCGAAGGAGATGGCCGACGATGCCGCGGCGAGGACGCTGGCGGACGAGGAGTCTTGGGGGTTTCGTAGATCGGCGACGCGCAGAGGTGGGGTGGGGGTTATTCCAGCCCAGGCCCTCTCGAGGCATGGAAAAATCACGACTGGAGGGGTTTTTCAGTTTTCGGCATCCAGGGGCCCTGACCAGGTCTCGGGGCCGTCAGAAACGACTCGGGATGAGAACCTGGGTTCAAAGCATGGTTCCAACCTAGGTTCCAACCTATGTCAGGCTCGAACCTCCTTAGGTTCCAACCATGGCTCCAACTTAGGGTCGCCCCGACCCCACCCTTGACGCCCCCCCGAAGGAGATGGCCGACGAGGCCGCGGCGATGCCGCGCCAGACCGCCCGGCCGGCGGCCTTGGCGGCGGCGAGGACGCTGGCGGGCGAGGAGTCTTGGGAGTTTCGTAGATCGGCCACGCGCAGAGGGGGGTAAGGGGAGTGGGAAGGGGGATGGGGTGGGGGTTATCCCAGCCCAGGCACCCTCGAGGCATGGAAAAATCACAACGGGAGGGGTTTTCACAATTTTCGGACTCCACGGGCCCTGACCAGGCCTCGGGGCCGTCAGCAAACGACTCCGGATGAGAAAGCCGGTCCTGAGGAATGGGTCGAGCCCTCTGTGGGTCGACGTTATGAAAAATGACGTCGTGGGTTTGGGAAGGTGGGGTTGGGTAACGAACCCAGCTGGATGCTAACACTGTCTTCTTGCACGAGCTGTCTAGAGCGATTTTCCTCCCAACCCCCACCTCTGCACCGCCCTGGGCTCCGCCTCAGAGCCGAAACTAGCCGCTGTGCCCCCCCCGTCAGGGGGATCGACGCAGAACTTAGGTTCTAACCTGGGTTCGAACCCAGGCCCAAGCTAGGTTCGCCCCTAGGTGAGGGCCGAACCTAGGTTCAAAGCATGGTTCCAACCTATGTCAGGCTCGAACCTCCTTAGGTTCCAACCATGGCTCCAACTAAGGTTCCAGCCTAGGGTCGCCCCGACCCCACCCTTGACGCCCCCCCGAAGGAGATGGCCGACGATGCCGCGGCGATGCCGCGCCAGACCGCCCGGCCGGCGGCCTTGGCGGCGGCGAGGACGCTGGCGGGCGAGGAGATGGCCGGCGAGGAGGCCAAGGCACAGTGACTTGGAATTGGCGATACCCAGACCCCCTCGAGTCATGACCAAAAAATCATGTTGGAGGGGTTCGCTATTTTAGGCCTCTGGGGCCCCTCGCAGGGCCTCGGGACCGTCAAAAGTCGATTCAGGATGAAAAACTGGTCCTGGGGAATGGGTCGAGACATTTAGGAATTGCGCATTGACCTGGGGACTGTTCTGCCAGGGTCTGGCAGTGCCCGGGATCTCGGGCCCGCTCCCCCCAGATCATTTGGTTTTGTCGGTTGCGCAGTTCCGAGGGGGCTGCATGCGCAGCATTGGTTCGCGCGGGCATGCGCGGGGCTGCCCACCGCGAAAAGGTCAGTTTATAGGCTGGCACCTCCCTCTCCGCCCACCGGATCCCCCGGGCTTCCCCCGAAAAATAAGGTACGATCTCCTCGAACTGACGATACGTCGTTCTCGGTGGTTCTCGGCGCTTCGAGGTTTGCTTTCCTGGGGTTTTTGATCGTCCTGGGGCGCCCTCGTGGCCACGGCTGGATCCGCTTCGAAATTCGAGTCAGAACGCACTCCAGGAGAGTTCCAGGAATTGATTTTAGACCCCTGATCAGGGGCAACGTTATGGGGGGGAGGTTCAAGGGAATTCGAAGTTTTCGGTGTTTTCAGGCGTTCTCGGCGGTTCTCGGCGGTTCCTCGGGATGCCTTCCAGCAGCTGCGCCTCGCCGGGAGTGTGCTGGGGGCGCCCCGATCGTCCCGAAAGGCCGCCGGAGAGCCAAGTTTGTATGACCTGACAGCCAAGGCACCAAGCCCAGTCGTATTTGGCGCCGCGACGCCGGAGCAGTGAGCCGCGGCGCAACAGGCACACGATGCGCTCGCCGATGCTCGCCGCCGTGGCCGTCGGGGTACCTCGCCCTCTTCGTCCTCGCAGAGGAAGGGAGATGCCGATGCCGCTGCCCTCCTTTCGTCGCCGCGGCGGGCTTCGCGTCAGAGTCCTGGTCAGAGCGCACCCCAGGAGAGGTCGGTACCGTTAGCCGTGAGAAGCAAATATCGACCCTCTCCATCCGGCGAAACTGTATCGTTTCTCGCCCCCCTGGAGGTGATATTCCGCCCCCGGACCCTTCAGATCGCATTTGCTCCCCAACCATGTCTTGCACCAGAGAGCCTTTGCTTTGAAGGAACTTGGCCTGGTTGTCGGTCGGGCCAGCTTGTGTCCACCCGTCGCCGCCGTCTGTGGCTACGGTTAGGATTGTGCGAGGCTCGCACGTTGCATTTCTTTGAGTTGCTCTGCATTGTTTTGCACATATTCAACTGCTTTGCTTTGCTTTCGCTTGCATCGCGTTACATTGCTTTGCACCGCTCGCATCTGTTCGCATTGCTCTGCATTGTGTTGCACCACGTTGCTTTGCATTGCTTTGCATCGCATCGCATTGCTTCACATTACTTTGCATCGCGATGCATTGCAACGTATTGTTTTCATTGCAGCGCACTGTTTTGCATTGCGTTGCGTCGCATTGCTTTGCATTGCGTTGCATTGCTTTGCATTGCATTATCTTGCAGTGATTCATATTACTTTGCATAGAATTGCATTGCTTTGCGTTAGTTTGCATTGCACTGCGTTGATTTGAATTGCGTTGCGTTACTTTTCATTGCTTCGCATTCCTTGGCAATGTTTTGCGTTGCTTTGAATTGCTTTGCATTGCTATATATTGCAATGCATTGCAATGCATTGTTTTGCATTTCGTTTGATTTCTTTGCGTCGCAGGTTCCACTACATAGATTTTCTTTTCTAAAAGGAGAATAGACTCCACCACCCTCCAGAGGCCAGACTTATTGGTACCCCCTGGGGATGTGCATCTAAATCTGAGTTCATACCATCCCAGCCGAGCGGGCATCCCCCCCTCACCCTCTGCAAAAATTATCCCGGCACAGCAACCTAACAGCGATGTGTAGAAGCATATCTGGAAACATTGCCTGTGGTATTCATGTAAGAGCGCTGTTGTAGAATTCTGGTGTTCTCGCAGTCGCATTCGAATTCGCAGTGGCAGTCGCAGTGGCAACATCAGCGGCAGTCGCAGTGGCACTGCCAGTAGTTGCAGTAGCAATGGCTACACTAGCAGCAGCAGCAACAGCAGCAGCAGCAGTAATAGTAACAGTAGTAGTAGCAGTAGAAGTAGTAGTGATGGTAGTAGTGGTAACAGTGAAGTAGTAGTTGTAGTGTGTGGAGTGAACGAGTAGGAGTGATGGGAGCAGTGGTAGTAGCAGTAGAAACATTGGCAAAGTGGAAGAGCACGAAGTGGCCTACAGTTGGCTCCGGGCATTCAAAATGTGGCCCGGGAGTGGTGTTCTGGGAAGTCCAAGAGCACGAAGTGGCCTACAGTTGGCTCCCGGCATCCAAAATGTAGCCCGGGAATGGAGTTCTGGGAAGTCGAAGAGCACGAAGTGGCTTACAGTTGGCTCCCGGCATCCAAAATGTAGCCCGGGAATGGAGTTCTGGGAAGTCGAAGAGCACGAAGTGGCCTACAGTTGGTTCCGGGCATTCAAAATGTGGCCCGGGAATGGAGTTCTGGGAGGTCGAAGAGCACGAAGTGTGCGACTGTTTGCTTAAAACGAGCCCGGCCCTCGCCTGTCCGGCTCCCGCCCAGATCCCCTTGGGGAGTCATCAGATGCTTTCTTTTGACCCCATGAGAAACCTATCAGTCTTCGCTGTTAGGTAAAAATCGCGCGCGCATTCGTTGACCACGAATCATCAGTTTTCAAAAATTCATTGCAAAAAACAGAGTGAATTGCATGCGCGCGCGTTGTGCCGAAGTCCTTCAAAAGCCTCCGGCTTCGTAAGGATTTCAAAATCGAGCGTCCAGAACATTTGTTCCGCGGTCTTGCGAATTCTTGAGACAACCATCAGTTTTTCAGAATGTTCAGGAAATGCTGCCAAACGGGCTTCGTGCGCGCATGTCGAAATCGTTCGAACGCCCTTGCGCGCATGCCGTTGCGAGAACCCTGTGCAAAAACATTGACGAAGTGCACACGCGCGCGTTGTCGCGCGCGCATGCCGAAATCCGTCAAGAACTTTCCGTGTCGTAGCGATGTCAACACCGAGTGTAAAAACAAAAAAAACATAACATATGGTTTCACAACATCAGTTTTCACAAAAACGTGCGTCCGCGCCCTTGCGAAGTCTTAAGACAACCATCGGTCTTTTGTTTCAACATTGTCGTTGAATTCTGTCACACGGGCCTCTGACTCAGCATGCCGAAATCATTCACACGCCCTTGCGCGGGTGCTGGGGGGGGGGCACGATCCGTGCCAAATAACACCATGCGGGCCACTCGCGCGTCGGCCGCGCGCGCACGTCGAACTCTTTCCGAAACCTTCATCACCGACGCGAGGACGCCGTCATCGTCGTCGGCGTGATCAACATCGGCGCCCGCACTGGCCGCGCCGTCGTCGTTGTCAACATCGCCACCAGCACCGCTACAATCATCATCGTGTCTTCCGTTGTCGACGTTGCCATGATACCGCGTCCGCCCAAGTCGCGGGCTCGCATTGAAGTGCCCGCTGGGATGCGCCCAGCGGTCAGCGCCACCGCGGCCGCGTCGGCCGCGCCAAACTAGCTGGCCGCTGCGCGCGCGTGCTTGGGTTGGCGCGGCCGCAAAGACGCACCAGCCAACGCCAAGCACGCATCAGAATCGCCACCGCATTGGTTTTGCAAACCAAGTTGCGAGTGGGTGGGTGGGACGTTCGCAAGAGCATGGCATCCTTAATAGGGATGAGTAGGAGGACGACGCGGAGGAAGAAGAGGAGGATGGGGCAGAGAGGGGTCTCAAGAAAGGGAGGAGGAGGAGCAGGAGCAAGAGCAGGAGGAGGAGGAGGAGGACGAGGAGGAAGAGGAGGAGGAGGAGGAGGAGGAGGAGGAGGAGGAGGGAGGAGGAGGAGTGAGGGAGGAGGAGGAGGAGGAGGAGGGAGGAGGAGGAGGAGGAGGAGGAGGAGAGGGAGGAGGAGGAGGAGGAGCAGGAGGAGCAGGACATAAGGAGTTAGAGGAGGGCGAGCATTGTTCCACAGAGCACGCAAGGCATTTAAAGACGCACGCGCGAACTCAGTGGTTCTCCGCAATCCCCCGTTTTCGAAGGAACAGGGCCCCCTTCCTCTACCGCGGCCTCCGTGGCGCGGTTCACGGAGCGCTGCGGCGGTCTCGAGGCAGGCTGTCCGAGTCCGCCTTAGCCTTGCCTTCTTTCACTTGTCCGAAGCTGGGGTGCGATCGCGGTGCTCCTCAGACCGACGGCAGCGCGTCGGCATGACGAGCGCGCCAGTCACATTTCAAGCGCCGCGTCGGCACCGGGGCGGGGGTCCCTGACGGAGGCGCGGCGCGCTGGCCGGATAGTTACTCCGTGGGGGCCAGAACCACAGGGATGGTGAGATTTTGGGCCATCCTCTTCAGTCCTCCTCAGTCTTCCCAAGTCCTCCTCATTTTCATCTTCTACATTATCCTTCTCCTCCTCCTCCTTTTCCTCCTCCTCCTCCTCTTCCTACTCCCTTTCCTACTCGAACGGTAGGTTACCTCTTCCTTGGCTGGGTGCGGGGGGTGATCACTATTGCCGTTTGGCTCAAGTGATCTTTTTCCGCACCCTCTGCGAGACTCGCCATACACCGTTCTTAGGCACAGCTTATTGGAAATATTCGCCTATTCACCTTCCGCTTTGCATGTCTAGTTGGTAGCGGATCTTCGGCCCCCTTCCACACTTGCAGCCATGGCCTGCGTGGCATTCCCTCGCCCAGGCTGCGATCGCTCTACACCAACGTTGACCTCTTCACGTTTCCGCTCTACGTCAATGCGGTATCCACGCTTCCGTTCTATACTCGCCGTCGTGCTGACCTTCCAGTTCGCCAGGGCTCGCCAGGGCAGGCGACGCACCTTTCGGGGTTGTCAGGGCATCACCCGCCCAACTGCAAGGTAGGACTGAACGGTACCTGCACGTCTACACCCACAGTGACTTCTACCATAGGATTGGCCTCCCTCGGCACCCCCTCCCGGGCTGGCCCCACTTATGTTGGAACAGTTCGCGGACTTGCCGCCATCAGTGCGTTCGTTTGTGAGTGCAGCCTCAGATGTCAGACAGTTGTTCGACACAACATTCACATCTTCAGTGCTGGAGAAGGGTCCCGGGCTTGCTGTGACTATGTTGCAGGAATCCTGGGAGGAAAAGGCAGCGGACACGACGCCTCCACTGCGTCCGCCTGTGCATGTAGCCGAGGGTGTCGGACGTTCACGTCCTTGGCGTTGGCGAAGCGTCCCGAGCTCCCGGCGACTATGTTGCCAGAGCCTGGGGAGACCCGGGCAGAGAAAAACGGGAAGACGAAGGAGGGTCTGACTGTCAGCACTTCGGGGGGCCGTGAAACGAACTTGGGACTATTCATCTTCGGCCCCGTGGACGACCTTCACCATCTCCTACGCACTTCCTGCTTCCTGGCAGACCTGGATCCCGACGCAGACGCCTCTTGACTATCGTACAGTTGGTCGCGCTCAGTACAGTGCCATCGTGACGCGCGACGAGCATTCCCATCACTATGTTGTGGAATGCTCCGAGTGCCGATCGCACCCCGACCGCACGACATAATCACATGCCCATAGCGCTGAAGAGGAAGAGCATACACGGGACAGCCACCCACGATGGCTCCAAGGCGGTCTACCCGAACATCGCTGCTGGTGGGCTCCAGGACCCCGCCACCTCATCGAAACATGGGGGGGCTCCACTCTGGATGGAAGGCCATCGCAGTGGGCATAGTCGCTGCCATCAGCTGCTTCGCCCGCATGAGCGCCGGCGGCTGCGCAATGCGCGATGCCTTCGCACTCGGGGGCAGCACGCTCGCGTGCCTTTTCAGCGCTAGGTGCGGGAGGTCCTCCTGAGGTCATGATCTGGTCAGCGGTGAACGCCGACTTCGACGATCTCCGCCAAACGGCCTACGTCTCGTCCCGCCTCACCGGCATGGCGCGCGAGCGAGTGGGCGAGT